AGCACTTGAATTTTGTAGTCTCATAATTTACCCTCGAGGGTCAAAAGGCATTTTTTTAAGTTAGTCTTTCTTCAAAAATTCTTCAAAATTGATTACCCCAATTGACCTCCGTATCAGTATTTGAAGGTCAATCAATGCGATCTAAGCGTTGACCCTCGAGGGTCGAGCAGTTTCAGAATTTATTATCATCATTAGCTTCCGGATGGATGCCACATTTTATTTCAGCGCTTTACCGACGTTTCGCAAATATTCCAGTCTACACCTTCAAGGCAAAGACCTCCGATATTTGCGGGTAGTCCTTATATACCATCTCCTGCGGTGGCGGGGGTAGGGGTGCGAGGGAGGGGAGATTGTAAGCCAATCACTTTTTTATTTGATCAGATGATCGAGTTTTAGAATTTGCCACTTCACGTTGAGTTTATCAGAAGAAAATTTTCGCAAATTTCCTCCTCGTGGGTCAAATCTCAACAAAAGCATTTGTCACATCAAACATTCTGATTCAGACTTTTCCACTATTGATTACCCGCAACATTTGACTTCTTCCCCCTGAGTACTCAACCCACCAATTAAACAATTCTAGAGAACAACGAGAAATTACCATTTGCGCAATAACATCTCCTTGATCATCAATATAACTCTGAATAGCCCTCAAATGAACAAGAGTTTGATTCGCCTTCCGATAGAACGGTTCCAACTGCATCTCCAGTGTAGTGAGCTGATCGATGAGATTGTCCTGAATTTCCATGAGTGGTCTAACTTTTTTCACAATGAGGCTGTGCATCGCTGCGCTGATACCCACAAATGCCTTTGAACTTCTCCGATCGGCCAATTGATCTCCGACATTGTGAATTTGATTTGTCATCGTGGTCATGTCTTGATTGAGAATCGGACCGCGAATCTGAATCAATCATGAGTAACAGAGTTAAATTTTTAATTAACGATGTGTATCTGCTTACCATTATCTTGTGCTCGGTGAGATTGGGTCTGCAAGCGTAAAGAAGACTCTCGAGCTTGCCCTCCAAGCTCCGGGTGAGTATCTTAAAACCTTTGAGATCAACTTTCAGCAAAGAAAAGGCTTTTGAAAGTCCCGGCCACATCCAGTAATCTGCCAGTTGCTCCAAGTTCGTGGTTTTCCCTAGTGGAAACGCTGGATAAACCGCTTCATTCTGCTCGCATTTTCTTTTTCGAAAAAGCAAAAAAACAACATGAAGTTTAAGTAGAAGGCATGACACTTGTCTGCTGTTAAACTAGTCCCTTGGGGATCTTTTAATTGAAGATGCGGAACAACAACTGGTATTTCGCCAGTTATTCTATTAGAGCTCTGTATGAAATTCATTACACAGAAAGTACTGTACTTACATACAAGATTTAAAACGTAATTTATGAAATTTCTAATGTCATTCATTACAAGTTTGGGACCGTAAATTACAAGCGGAAACTACGGAAATTACGCCTAGTAATACCATAAATTATAATTTCGAAATTGTAAATTACGAGGACCCATATCGTTCGTTCAACTGAATCATTCGGTAACTATTACTGAATGTTTAATTGTTCCTAATTGAGTAATGCCATTCGGTAATAGTTACCAAACTTGATTAAGGTTGTTGTCGCGCGACAGTCCCTGTAAAAAGTTTATCCGCTGTAAAACGGGCCAGTTTAGAACACAATCTTTTAGCGGTATATAGTCTCACTTGATTGATTGCATTGTGCATGGATAGCTAAAGCAGAACTATATATTTTCCATATTAACTATTTTCAATTATATA